GTAACCGAGCAAAAAGGAAACAAACAAACGAAAGAAAAAAAAAAACGAAAAAAGAAGAAAAAAAGAGGGAAAATCGAGAAAAATAAAAATTAAAAAAAAAGTAAAAAGACAATCAAAAATCTAGATAAATACTTAAAACGTGATTTCGGAGATACTTGCTAACAAACGTAAAGGTAACCAAACGCCTCCGCGTGACACGAGAGGTATTACAATGACGAACGGACATCGCTTGAGTTAATAGTCGATGCGTTAAGGTTTAATAGCATTGTATGAGGGGGGGGGATGAGGGAGAAAAAAGGACCTACGTGCGAGACACCTACGCACGGGCAACTCCTCTTCCACGCACCTGCACGTCCATCGTTGAACGATGTTCGAGAGATAAAAAAAAAAAGAAAAAGGAAAAAGAAAAAGAAAAAAAGAACTCTCCAACGTATGTATGTACGTAGAGAAAAATATCAACGAGCGGATACACGATCGAAAGGATTCGTCTGGGAAATATTATTCTCGATGAATGATTCTTCTTGCTGCAAAAACGACATGAACCGACATGAACTCTTTGTTCGAGTGTCGAGACGACACCAAAGACCATTATCCCATTAGAATAAATGTAAAGTGGAAAACGAGTAGGTCGATGTTCCCCCTCTTTTCTTCCACCTCCCTCTCTCCCCTCCCCTCCCCTTCTCCTCATTCTTCTTTCTTTTTTCTCCCCTTTCTTTTCTCCTTCTTATTTCTCCTCTTCCTTGATCTTTTTTTCCTTCTTCTCTTCTCTAGATTCCGTTCTTCTCGCTATCGTTACTAAACGCCCTGTAACGCAGGGGGGTGGAAAATCGGTGGCAGTACGGGGGAGGGAACGGTAGGGCGCATTTACATGATATGAATATAATAGAGAGGGCTGCTGAGTCATTCGTACAACCCGAGCGTGCTTCGACGACCTAGCAACTTCGAGAGCGCTACCTGTTGAACGAATTGAGTTCAAACCCTTGCTGACCTACAGGATATATTCATGGGGTCTCTAGTATATCGTCCATTCCTAATCGTTACTTTCTTCCTGCAATTCGATTTCATTTATAGATTTTGTTTTTTTTTATCATTCGCATTTTGTATGTTCTCTTTAAAAAAATATAATCTTTCAATTTAATATTTGTTGTTGTTGTTCTTGTTATCTTTTTAATCGTTTTTTGAAGTGAAAACTTCTTTAGAATGGGAATGATCTGAAAAGTAAATAAACGGAAACGGAGCTATGTAACGAAGCTATGTAACGAAGCTATGAAACGGCTGCTATACTAAATAATGAGAGAAAAAGAGACAAACATATAGGATTTAGACTGCGAGAGAATGAGACGGAATATAGCCTATACAGTTTTTTGTCTCATCTTAAAAATTTCTCAATAACGCAACTGTGTATAGTATCGTACAAGAATTTGTATTAGTAGAAAAAGAGAAAGAAGAAAAAAAAGAAAAAAAGACAAGTGATTTGATACTTTTGATAAATTATGAAATTTTTTCGTTCTCCTTATACTTTCCATTAAACTTTGAAAATATTTCATGAAATATATATAGAGAGAGAGAACGAGTTAACTGAAAGTATTGGAAACTCCAGACAGTACTGAGGAAGATGAGTCGATCTCGAGAAAAAAATTTGAAGAACGGGAAGCGCCGCAGGAGACGAGAATTTTTAATATGGAAAAAGAAGATGAGACGGGTTTGAAGCTAATCCAGTTACCGATTTCTATCGAGATACTACTAACTATACATTTCTGGTTGCTTTGAACTCACACATATTGAACTGACAAATTACTTATTTCCTTCTTTTTTTTTCTTTTTTTTTTTAATTTAATTTTGACTTAACTCAATACCTGTATTCATTGAACATCAGGAAAGGATTAAGGAATCATTTAAAAATATGTGCAACATGATAATAGTAAAATAAAACGTGTAATACTCCAGAAATAATTTTTGATATTATTTACATAATATACAACTGTCGATATACGTTAAAACTAAATTGACAGATTTCAAATGTCATTCTCAATATTAAAAATCACAAATATTCAACTTTTATCATTTTATATTGACTTTAATTGATACAATCATACGTACTAATTTTATAACGATAATAATCATATATTTTATAATATATTCGTAGACACCCAACAAATTTTAGTAAAACAAAAAAAACAAAAAATCTATAAATACAGAATCAACGTCTTTAAATCTAGTGTTATAGACAAATAGTTGTAAAAGATTTTCAAAGGATGACTCTATACGTATATACAAGTATTGTATGAGTGTTGTATTGAGTATTCAGTAAGAATATTTCTACAATGCGTGCGTGAGACCAGTAGTTACACAAAGAGAGAAAGAGAAAAAGAGAGAGAGAGAGAGAGAGATAGAATAAAAGAGAATGAAAGAGAAATAAGAAAAAGAAGAGATAATAGTGTACGTCTAACGTTTAGTCGGGGTCGTCAAGTCACGATTAATTTCAATTCTTGTCGCACAAGTAGTACTTCCTACGAAAAGACGACGCGAACGGTGAACGTCGTCGATTCAAAAGAATCCCGAAGGAGCGAAAGAAAGAAAGGTCGCGAGCTATGGTAAGAACCCAACGAATGGGAGGGAGAGGCGCCACCGTCCCGTCACGAGACCATTCAAATCGTTTCAACTCGAAGCAGCACGACTGTTTAAAGACGATCATATGTCGCCATACGTCCGGATAACATATGCTACGTGAGCAAAGATCTGTGTTGTCCCTCCTTTCCATCCATCCCGTAACACAATGTATGTATATACCTATTACTTCCTACGGCTTTTCAAAACGAAGATTGTACGTATGAGATATATAAGATGTTTCTGAAAAGATTGTTTCATTCAAATAATAAAATGATCAATATTTCAATTAATTCATAATCATAACATACAAATATAATAATATTTCATATTAAAAGATTAAAAGAGTATAAAGATACTTAAAGAAATTATTGAGAATTTGATCCAAAAACTAATTAGATAATATTATTAACTCATTTGCATTATTAGGATATATTAGGTTGTACCAAAAGTTTCTTCTTTTTATTTTGTATTTTTTATGTTGATTAATATACAGTAAAGAAAAAGGTAATATAGAGTAGAAACGATATTATTTTGTAAAATAACGTAAAAAGATATTACGCATACAATATTGTGCAACTTATCACCAAGAGAAAGGAGGAAATTTTTGAGACGACCTAATATGTGCATTTTCCTTAGTTCATTTACAAGTAAATGGGGTGTGAAATGATATTGCGTTTTATACTTCTAGTAATAATAGAAGATGTTATTAGTAATTCTGATAATGGTGAATGAAGTAATTAGACCACTGAAAACTAAAATGTTCAATTAAATTGATAAAATGGGGACATTATTTATTTTTCATTTCCCTTATAATCCACAAATGAGTTTTAATATAATTATTGAACTCCATTAATAAATTGATCTAAAATATATGATTATATATTTACTTATATAGTTACCTAATGATCTCAAAAACATGATGAACAATGTGCTTATATTATCAAGCGTAAATGAAAAAATGTTATATGTGATATTGTTTAACTAAATACCGTTATATCACTGTTGAACATTTTTCTAAAGTTTATTAATGTTATTTCAATGTACTTATATTTTCTTAGTTTTAAGTATTAGTAATTTAAGTTATGTACCAGCCTATGTACAGGTAACCATGTTTACCTCTTGTAGGATTTACTATGTAGTAACTTTTGTTATTATTATATAAATTTTTCTTTTCTGGTATAAATAAATAAATAAATAAATAAATAAATTTTTGAACCACATTTTATACACTGTTATCAAATATAAATAAACCTTTTTCAAAGATCCATAGAATGATTTTTATTCGATTTGATGTGAATTCGCCGTGTCTAGACTAGGAAAATTTGCATATTCACCTTTTAATAGTTGATATTTCGAAATAATAGAACGAGACGGTGTATTATACATATAGCTTTGAAATATGTACATAATATAGTAGGATTATTAAAGAGACGAGTTCTTCTTCTAAGGCGTCTAAAGTTAAAACGAAAAAGATGGCTAAGCCTTTATACGGCAAAGCGAACCAATTCTGAAAAGAGCTTTCTCTTCTCTCTCTCTCTCTCTCTCTCTTCTTTCTTTTTCTCTTTCTCCCCTAATATTCGCCCGTTTAAAACCACATACGATTTACGCTCACGCTCACGCTGTTCTCGTATCGCGCCGTGAAAATGCGTACCTTAGATCAAAGCTTTAGACATAACGCAGGTAACTCGCGTAAGCTCTACCCAAGGAGGGCTCTGATATCTTTTGAACATTTTTTCAGAAAGAGAGAGAGAGAGAGAGAGAGAGTGAGTAAGAAAGAAAAAGATACAACCAGTCCGTTAAATCTTTTCATTAAAAGACACACTAAGAAGAAGAAGAAGAAGAAGAAGAAGATCTAAGGCTTGTACGAGAAAGAAAGATATAAGTACGGATTTATACAAAAAAAAAAAAAAAATAGAAAAAAAAAGAGATATACTGGTGTACACACAGCTTTCGTGTGAGAATTAACGCAAGACTTTTCAACTTTCTACTCTTGTATATGTGTATATACATATACCGCGAACTCTTTTATGAGAATACACTTTTCATCTTAAATTTTGAATTATCCCTCTCTCAATGTTCGTTCAATTTTCTTGGAAAATATCAAAAAAATGATGTAAATTGTATGTATATATTATTTTTTCTATTAATAAACATATCGATTAACTATATATAATAATTAATATTATAAACTTTATGTATATAATATAATAAAGTTCATTTAAAAATAATTATAAAATAATGATGGGATATTAAGAATCGAAGATACTTAGAAAGGGTAAACGATAAAATCAGATGGTGATTAGAATAGAAAGGAAAAGAAAAAAGGACGGGTATAATAATACGAAAATAACGATATAGCGTATAAAACGATAAAGCGTAATAAGACTGACCTTGCAAAGAACGCTGCGGCTGCGCTGGCCTGGGCCGGTGTTCCTGGCACCCCACTAACGTTGTAAGAATACTTGGTCTCCTGATAAACTTGATACGCGTTCTGCGGCTTGGAGTGTGACGATCTATGATAATAATGCTCTCCGTAGGGACTCTTCTCAGTTTGACGATCGACGACGTTTGGTACCTTCAAGTATGCCTGTATTGCTGGGGACGAAGAGGACGTCGAGCCTGACGACAATTTCGCGTGACATTTCTCATGAGAAACCTTCTCCGGTGCCCCATGTAAATGTGACTTCTCGTGAGACGTAACGATTGGCTTGTCGATCGTACCGTAAGACTTAAAATCATAGCCTTTCAATTCTCCGTAATACTTGAGATTTTCGACCTTGAATCCATGATTAGAGTCGTGATTCGCCTTGGATTTGGCAGAGTCGTGCTTACTAACGTATCCTACGACATCCTGCGAGGATTTCATCCTGTCCGTGGACTTCGCAGTGACCTCGACACCGTGCAGAGCAACCACCTTCGATTGTGGCTTCTCGATCTTCAACATGGATCTATCCACGGGACGACCTTGGACCGTTTCGTTGGCCTTCAGCAAGGACTCCACGGCACTCTTATACTTATCGCTTATACTGGTCAGTTCGCAACATGGGGAAGCTCCACTACCGAAACCATTATTACTTATCACACCAATGCAAACACCATTGTTACTATTACTCGTATTACTACTACTACAACAACCACCGGCACAAGGAACACTACTGTTCAAAATTACACTACAACCCGATCTAATCTGTTGTTGTTGGTGCTGTTGTTGCTGTTGTTGCTGTTGATAATTATGATGATTATGATTATGATGATGATGATGATGGTGATGATTATGATGACTGTGATAATGATGACTAGTCTTTGATGACTCACTGTGACACTTAGGTGTCAATACTAATTCCGAATCGTCACTGCTATCGCAATAAATATCTTCCCTGTTGCAATTGTTGTTGTTGTTGTTGTTGTTGTTGTTGGGACAACGTAGCACGTCGCACGTCTTCTGCTGGGAACGCTGATTACGAACCGACAACACACGTATTGCTTCACGCGCGGTCGGCGTGATACTGGCTAGATTAGAGGGCGTCTCGGCGCCATGAGTGGAGCCTCCCCTCCCTCCTCCACCCCCTCCTACGACACCACAACTGCTACTACAGCTCAAGCCGCCGCAGCTCGTGCTCCCTGCGCTGCATCCTCCCTCTCCTCCCCCTGTTGCTGTTGCTGTTGCTGTTGCTGTTGCTGTTGCTGCTGCTGCTGCTGCTGCTACTGCTGCTACTATTCCTCCTACTCCACCACCACCTCCACCACCTCCACTTCCTCCACTTCCTCCTCCTCCTGTTCCTCCTATTCCTCCTCCTGAACCTCCTAATCCGACACCCTGACGTCTTGTCCTCTCTTCTTGCTGCAAGTGACAAGGAAACGTATTAATTCGTTGCATAGAAAAGTGTTCTTAACTCTTCCTATACAACTTAGCTCGAGATTTGTGAATGAATAGGTCAAAGACCAACCACGTGTTGGATCTACTATACGAATAAGCGTTGTATGTATATATGAACGGAGAAACGTGTGAAGATGAAAGAAAACTGTCGCCGACGACGAATATATAATTCATTTGTCGTTTTTTCTTTGAAATGTTTTATTTTATTTATTATTTATAAATGTTAAGTAGAATTGTATTAAATTAAAATGATTGTGTGTGTGTGTGTATGCGTGCGGAATTGAAATGTAATTTTAATGTTCATTATAAAATATTTCTTTTTTTATGAAATTTATTGAATATTATAGTAGCGTTACTTTTTTTTTTTTTATTATTTTCATTTTAATAGCCAGCATGATAATTTTTTTTCATTAAAATTTCATTAAATAGTCAATTTATTTCGTTGAAATATATTGTAAAAATCAAATAATTTAATACAATGAAAAGAATGTTGTAATTTGTAGAAATTTCCATCATCCAACACATAGAAAATTAATTTGACGTGCTACCACAAATCGATCGATAGTTTTCATAATACAATGAAAAATTTCCATAAAAACGCAATAAAACAATAATTATTATAAAGAAGCTTCGGGAAAAGCAACCTACTGGTTGTATTTTTATAAATACACCAGTTCCAAGTATCTAGCAAGCACTTTTTTATTCGACCCATGAGTCTTTTAGCATTTTTACGAACATTCGTTTAGGTCAGTTTTTTAAAAATAAAAATAAAAATTCTATATTTTCATTATTTTTTCTTGTATTCAAAAAAAAAAAAAAAAAGATCCAATAACTCACCTGTGTTCTTTTCGAATCATCCTGACGTCTAACAATTTCCGAATATTTCGGAGGTTCAGCATGATACTTTGGGGGTGGTTCAGACTTAGGTGGCGTTTCTTGATACTTCGGGGGCCTGTCGTATTGCCGATATTTAGGTGGATCGATGTAAGGATTATTCTGATGTCTGTAGTAATCCGGTAATTGGCATTCTGACAAATCAGATTGGGATCTGTTCAACTGATAATTTGGTGGTATCGATGAATTACTTTTTTGTTCTTGATGATTTTGTTTCGCATGTTTCGAGCTTACAAATTTATCTTGATTCCTATCTTTTTTATCACATTTATCTTTACCCTTGTCCTGGGCGGAAATTGCATTGCTGCTTGGACCATCGATCTTGTAGAAAGTTAATTCTTTTTTATTACCAGTCGCTGATTTATCAGTACTTGATCGATAGGATTTACTTTGTTGCTGTTGATATTGTTGTGGTTGTTGCTGTTGTTGTTGCGTTTGTTGCTGTTGTTGCAATGATTGTTGTAACTGTTGTTGTTGTTGTTGTTGAGGATTCTCCAACTTCGGTGGTGGATCGATATGGTAGAAGGTCAATTCTCGTGAGTCCTGTGACTTGGATCGTGTTTCATGATACGCATACTGCTGTCTCTCAGGCTGCGAATGACTCCTCGAATATCTTTGCTCGAACTTAGTCAACCCGTCTTGTTGATATCTTCCCGTTAATCTTGCCGTTGATCTCTCAGCATTCGAATCAAGCCGAACAGAATTGCGGCCATATTCGAGATACTCATCCCCGTATTTGAAGATCTGCCGTGGCTTGTACTTCTCCTCGAACTGGGAATAGTTGTAAGTGTTGAAGCCAACCTGATTGAAATCCCTACTGAGATTCGAAGAGTCGTAATCCGTTGAAGTTACTGCCTCCACGTTTATCTGAAAAAGAAAAGGATTGTCGTTAAATGAGAGAAAAATTTAACGGGAACGAAATAAAAGAAAATAAAGAAAAGATAGAACAAAGAAGAAAATCAAAGTTTCAGTTTGGAATTTAAGTTCACCCAAAGACAAAAGATAAAGCGTGCTAAGGTATGCATAAGATTCTTTGCTAAGGGTTGATCTGTATAGGAAATACGAAGAGAAACGAGAAAGAAGAAGAAGAAGAAGAAGAAGAAGAAGAAGTAGTCGAAAGTACGATTCACGAGAATGGAAGAAAAAAAGAAAAAGAAAACGAAGAGAAGAACTCTCCGAGAGTTCTCTGAGAGTAGTCTCAGGGGTCATAAATCGGGGAACGTCTTATTCTTAAACGGTCGAGTATTTAGCGTAAAACAAAAAGCCAGCATTTGCGATAAATAAAATCTGACACTGAGGGGGCGTGTCGTTTTTATCTCTTCCTCTTTTCTTCTCTCTCTCTCTCTCTCTCACTCTCTCTTTCTCTCTTTCTCTATATACTTCTTTCTTTAACGGATAAAGCACAGTTCCTCTGCCCTTCTCAAGAATATGGAACTGAAGCGGCAAGAATGGGTGCCCCTTGGAGAATGTTCACGCTAGGGCTGGTCTAGAGGTGGTATAAAAGATAAAGTTCTTTAACTATAAGTCGATTCTCTTTATATTTAATGAATCACTTTTAGTTTCGAAGTATCTATAAGAGAATTTTAACATTGCCATTGTCATTACCTTTTGTCATTGTCAATTTTCAATTATATTCGAGTGTGAAATATTATAGCAGCATAAAAATACCACTCAAATGATCTGAAAGTGTGCAAAATTTGGCCGGTTTCGAATTCGAGTTAATTCGAGCGCGCAAATTAAGGGGTTAAATGAGGCAAATAAACTTATTGTTAAGATAAAACATTTTCCTATATTGTTTACAAATAGTTTTTCTTTCTATTTTTTGTTAAATTAAATTTCTTCAATGTCGTAGAATTTTTGTTCGTTATAAATATTTGCCGATAACGCAAAGTTGATAGAACATTTATAGTTTTTATTGATCGAAAGTCACGAAGCTTTAGTCGAGACGATGATCTTAAATCATCGTGTAACGTCGAGTATAAAGCTATAACTTCCTCACGAAGGATCGAAAGCATAGCCTCCGGGCTATGGTTATATATCATGCTCGGTAATGAAGACTACAACGGCGTGCTACCGACGTGGTTTTATATATCAGCTTACTTAAAGTATACTTACACGTAGTATTAATACGAAAGAATAACAATAATATATTGTTGTATCTCGTTTAAACAATTTTTTTTTTTATTTAAATTGTTATTATTTCATAATGTTAAAAAAATATGGAAAAATATATTTTAATACTTTAATACAATTCATTGTTTCATTTTTGTCCACGTATACCTATGCGTACCTAATACTTTTTGGTTTTAACATTTTGTGATTTCAAAGTTGGAGCTTAAATTTCAAACAAAAAATTTCCAACGATTCGCTTGCTTTTGTTCTGTTATTCTACGATTGCAAAAGCAGGAAATAATTTTTAATTATTGAAATACACGTTCCTGTGACGTTCGTGAAACTTGATAAATCGTAACATTGTTTCGGTTACTGTCATTCATCTTAATCCGTCAATTTTCTGTGTAAAACACGTGTTCGGGACGGGACGCATCAACGAATTGTCCCTGCAAAATTCATGGGTTTGAATGGACGATAATCGTTTTATTTTTTTTTTTTTTTTCAAATTTTAAAACCTATGTTAGATATTGAAATATTTTGAGATATTTTAAAATATTTCAATATGCTTTTTTTATTATATTTTTAATTTCTATAAATTATCATTAACTTTAAATACTACATATACTATATATAGTATTACTAATTAATTATCCTTAATCCTCTATTAAGGATTAATCACTGTAACATAACATTCGAATACAAAATTCCTAATGCATGCAGAGACAAATCAATGCCGTATAGGGGCATCAAAGTGATCGGGAACAATCATAGAATCTTAATGCGACAAAGACATATAAACGATACTGATGAAAGAGAGAGAGAGAGAGAGAGAGAGTAAATCGATCGATGTTGGACTAATACTACTCGATCGCTAATTGACCCTAATCTCTCCCTAGAGTGACGAGGATCAGCAGCATAACGATGCCCTTTGGCCAGCGTGCTTCCTTTGAAGGCTTTGATTTGTACGAAAAAGAACAAGAAAAAGAAAGAAAAAAAAAAAAAAGAAAGAGAGAGAAATAAAAAACGATAACCAAACAGCTCTTACATAGAAATCGAGATCTAAGGAAACCTACACGTAAGATTTTTAAATTCTCTTGAGAATTGGTGAATTGTTCGTTTAAACGTTTTCTTTTGACCTCTCTAATACTCCTCTCTCAAAAGGGATAGAGAAATAGAAAAGAAAAAGGATGACAAAGGAGAACAAACGATTGATGAAAGGGAAAAAGAGAAAAAGGAGAAAAATAAAAGAGAAAGAGAATACGAATAGAGAGAGAGAGTGAAAGTGAAGGATGGTGATCTCAATTCCGAGCTTAGTAACCCTCAGTTAGCCGTGTAAACGCAACCGAAAACAAAGTTCAGCGTACAAACACGAAATAAAGGCAGGTACCTAACGAAGTTCATTTCAGCAGTCTGACTACTTACCGACTTCTTCTCTCTACCATTCTCTCTTTCTCTTATTACGAAAAGCAGAAAAGTGACGAACATATTCTAATTGAATTCAGACTGTGCTTGCCTTCTGATCTCGATATTTTCCTCGAGATTTCTCGATCCTTACAACCAACTTTCCATTAATATTCTTAACATTGCAATTTACATAGCTATTTTACTCGGTACGAGAATTATTTCCATGGTAGATGAATTTTCTTGAATTTTCCACTTTCCACCCTTTCAATCTTTTCACTTTGGCAAACAAGAAATTATTCAACAAATTTTTAAGAATGAATTTCTTTTGACAAGTTTCTTCTACAAGACAAATAGATTAATTTTTACTGTTTGTTGTTATTTCTTTCTTTTTTTTTTTTTTAATAAAATTATCAAGATAACGATAAATAAATAAGAAACCACAAAAGTATGTAAAACGAGATCTTGTTGTCTGTACGTGACATGTATATATATATATGTGTGTGTGTGTGTGTACATATATGTGTATCGTTAATGAATATGTCATTTTTAGCCTGAAGGGATACTAAGAGAGAAATAGAGAGAGAAAAATGAAGAAAAGGGGATTATATATAGGATTTTTACAGCGGACTGACCTGTCTCAATAGCAGGTTTTTAACCCCCCTGCTCGGCCAATCAAATTATAAGCGCTCGGTTGCGCGCTCGAATGAAAATCTTCGTCGATTCTATTTCACGTTGTATTTCGAAATTGAAAGTATCTCTCTTTCTCCCTTTCTTTTCATACACATACTATCGTTCAACGAGTAGAAAAGAAATTATTTCAACTGACCGAACGATATCGAACAAGAGAGAAGCTTTTTATTACGATTTCGTTCGTAAAATTCTCTTTTCTCTCTCTCTCTCTCTCTCTCTTTCTCTCTTTGTAGTGTTTCGTTGGAAAAATCACTTTGAAAGAAATACCATGATCGAAGTTGCGCGTTGTTTTAATCGAGAAAAAGAAATAAAGGAAGAAAAGAAAAGAAAAGAAAAGAAAAAGAGAATACCCAAACGTCCCCATGAGAGGAAGCTTCAAAGAAAGGTCCTACCATCGTCATCAGGAATTCGTCCTCTTTCATTGTTTTTTCTTTTTTTTTTTCAGGGAAGAAAGATGATTATTCGCGAGAAGAGAGAAACGAATGAAGAAAGGAAGAAATGAAAGAATTACGAGCATACGTCGAAGGGTGGCATACGATTCAATCTTCGACACACAGCAGAGACATGACGATCGAGAAGATCGAACATCATCATAAATACAATGCACACGTGGATAGTCTATGGGGAATGTCTTTTTAATATAAAAGTCAGTATATCTCTTTGAAGAGAGTGAAAAAGGAAAAAAAAAACATGAAGAAAGGTGAAGAAGAAGAAGAAGAAGAAGAAGAAAAGGAAAAAGAGGTATCGTAAAAATAGATGGACTTACTGACTGACTGACTCGCTATATGGAAAAACAACGAGAGTAAAGAGATAGAAAGTCGGAATAAAAAGAAAGTTTGAGGATAACGAATGAACCTTGCAAAAAAGATATAAAAAAAAAAAAAGATGTGAAGGGGAGGAAAAAAGAGAGAAGGAATAAAGGGAGAATGAGGAGGACCAAGCAATCTCTTACGGTTGAGTTTGTTTTACTCAGGAACGTGGTCTCGATCACTCCAAATAATCATCGCACCACACGCGAGTCTTTCGCATCATCGCATCAACGAAAATGAGAAGAAGAACGACGAAGTGAAAAATCCTTAAAAAGGGACGACGAAACGATGTAAAAGAGAGAGAGAGAGAGAGAGAGAGAGAGAGAGAGTAACAAAAGAAGAATGTCGACGTAATGATAAAAGCTAGGAAAGGCGAGCCCCGATGTCGTTGTCGTTTAAAAAAAGACTTCCTTTTATCCACGAAAAAATCGTCCAATCTCTACTTGTCCATCTTATGGCGACCAGTGCACTGACAAAAGGTCTGTCTATCCTGTGTCCGACGAGACTAGTCTACGAGTAATATTTCATTCCTTCTTCTATTTTTTTTTCTCCTCTTCTTTCCTTCCTTCCTTCCTTCCTTCCTTCCTTATTTCCTTCCTTTCCGTTTTCCTTTTTATTTTTGTTCTCTTTTTCAACATTTTTCTTTTATCACGCGAAACACGCAAGGATGAAGAACATTTTCTAACTCATTAATACTACTGGATGTGGAACTCCCTGTGTGTGGAATACAAGTTTTACTGTATTTTCTCAGTAAAAAATGCATGTATCGTAGAGATAACACAGAAAGAGAGAGAGAGAGAGAGAGAGAGAAGGAGAGTGGTTTAGCACACAGCACGGTTCTTCTAATCCTGT